GACTATACCAGGTGAAGCACTGAATGAATAACCTTTGGAATGGCAAGGTATAATGGCCGATGATTTCATGTGGGAATCAAGGGGTGGGAGCAGGAAGCAAAGCCCTAGAATTGGAAAAGATTTAATTATAGAAACCAACTTACTGCTTTTGCCTGTTTTGTGATTATATCAGCCGGCTAAGAGGCTGAGCAGACTCCATACGCCTACAAGAAATTAAACCCCTTTCAAAGGGTACAGTCACAATGCAAGGATTTTAAGACCTTTCCTGTTCATTAAAATATATTTGAAGACTGATAAATCTCCCCGAGTTGTCAAACAGCCATCTTTTATGCCTTACTTTAGAAGCTGGATTGGAGAGATCTGAGAAGAGTAAACAACCATATACAGCAACCCCAGAACTTTTGTGCGCCCTCTCCCTACCCCCCTTTAATAAAATAAGGCTGTATATAGCATATATAATAGATTCAAAGGGAAATAATAGGAAGGCAAAGAAAGAATGGCAATGCAAAATTCGGAAACAAATAGATTCAGTAGAGTAAAAATTCAGGACTTGTAAATCTTCTTCCCGTCCTTGGTAAGGCGGCCGTTGACACATCAAGAAGACACAAATTTACATAAGCTAATTTATTCCAAACAGTGGTACCTCGGGTTACAAACACTTTGGGTTACAGACTCTGCTAACCCGGAAGTAGTACCTCAGGTTAAGAACTTTACCTCAGGATGAGAACAGAAATCGTGCACGGGCAGCAGCAGGAGGCCCCATTAGCTAAAGTGGTACCTCAAGTTAAGAACGGTTTCAGGTTAAGAACAGACCTCTGGAACGAATTAAGTTTGTAACCAGAGGTACCACTGTATATGCGCTTTTAGAACCATTGCAATAATTTAAATAGAAATATATCTCGCCATGGTGGGGGAAGACTGTGACCAGGTGCCTGCATAATCCTGGGCCACGTTTACACCACACCTTTAAAGCACAATGACATACCCTCCAATATTTATCTGATGAAAATAAGGATGTTCCATTCCATAATGATAATTTTACTATTTATACGCCACACATTTTATTGGGTTGCCCCAGCCACTCTAAGCAGCTTCCAACATATATAAAAACATAACAAAACATTAAACTTTAAAAAAAACAAAAACACTTTCCCTATACAGGATTGCCTTCAGATGTCTCAGGAGGTCAGATAACTCCATACCCTCCAACATTATTCCAATGAAAATAGGGATCAAATCAGAAACTGGGACAGCTTCTGTAAATCAGAGATGTCCCTGGAAAATAGGGGCACTTGGAGGGTCTTCTACGATACCACTTTAAACAGGCATGGCTTCCCCAAATAATTATGGGAGCTGTAGTTTGTGAAGGCTCCTGGGAATTGTTAAGAGACCCCCCCGTTTCCCTCATGGAGCTACAATTGATCCCTCTTCGTGGGGAATTGATGCTCAGACGCCTCCTAACAACTGTTGGCACTGTTAGCAAACCACAGCTCCCAGAATTCTTTGGGGGAAGCCATGATGGTTTGAAATGGTCTCATAGTGCTTTAAAAGCTATGGTGTGAATGCGGTCCAGGTGCTAACTGCTGACAGGCAACTTCCAAGGCCTCAGCTTTCCTTTCTTATGGTTCTTTATCTTTAAGCTGGTCTTGGACAGGGCAGCCCATCTGATAGAGGACTCATTTAATCAGAAGACTGTCCTCTGGAAAACAGGAAAAGTAGACACCTCATGTGAAGAAGAAAATTAAGCGCTTGCTTAACTCTCTCCTTTCGGCTGCAGTGGCTGGTTCACTTTCCAGGCCTGTCATATCAGCAACAAGCCTAATCTTCTTTAACTGGTTCCATTTCACTGTCAAGTCTATAGAAACCAATGTACAAATAAGAAGCTTTTTATCGCCATTCTGCGGCACAACAGCAGACTAATCCTGGCTGTATCAAATGTTGGTGTGGTTTTCTTCTTGATTCTGCAAGTATAGATACTTTTAGAAATAATGTTGTAGTGACAGGGATTAAAATGTTATTTTCAGTGTTGTGAAATGACTTTCATCTGTTTTTAGATGGAAAGCTACAAAACATGGCTGGTTTGGTTTGTTTGTTTTTAAGTGCTGATATGAAATTTTGTCATGGATGCTTTAGCTGAGATTCCTGCATTGCAGAGGGTTGGACTAGATGACCGCTGGGTCCCTTCCAACTAAGATTCTATGATATTTTTATGAACTGGGAAACCTCAGTGTTTGCTTTGACATGTGAATGCATCATTCTGTTTGTGGACCAAAATTTGTCACCCAGTAGCCATTTTACTCAAGCACTTTAAAGTCCATTATTTTACACCAGTAAAGTTCAGTATTTCCCCCTGAAACTACGTTTCTTGCTGTGGCAAGTGCAATGTAATGCAATGTGCCTAGGCACACCTAATTTTTTAAAAGCTGTTTTTAACAGGACAAGCATCAAATTGAACAACAAGCTAGCCAATGCACAATGCATTTAACGTGTCTGGTTGTGTTGTTGTTTTTTGTTACCAAAAAGGTGGGGAGCAATCAGGATTGGGACCATGGCACTCACAGAGAAAAGAGTTAGCACCGAGGTTCCCCAGGAAAAGTTACATTACTTTATTTCATTTATTTAAAATATTTGTAGGCTGATTTTTAGGGTCAATCCTACCGAGGCAACTTCCAACATACAAATTCACACTATAAAATCCATACAAGTCTAAAACCATAAAGCATCATAAAACATAACTATTGGGCAGGAGAATGAGAACCAATTATACTAAACTACACATAAGGAAATTCTATTCAGTTCACATTTAAATGCAAATCTACCTAAGTTATGCTTTCCAAAACTACAAATGAACCAAAGTGCAGCCATGCTTCCAAATTCTCACCTCTCCGAATTTTGCAAAAATGCATGTGCTGTGGTAAAGTGTGCATAAAAATGTATATATTGGTAAGAACAGCATAGAAAATGCATGTGTTGAGCGGCACTGCAAAATTTGGAGAAGTGCAAATTTTGAAGGATGGTTGTTTCAGTTTGCCAATTATTTCAGAAAATGAGGCAGGTTCATATTCAAATTTGAACTGAATCAAATTTCTCCTTCATCCTTAGCAGCAATGCCAGCTTCCTTCCCAGAACAGAAAGCATAGCTAGGAAGGTAACTTGCTTCAAGACCACCCCTCCCACGATTCTTCCCAAAATGAACCAACAGTCTTCACTAGTTATTGCTTCTGAATCACCTCCACATTTTATACACGTGTAGGACTTTGTTGATGATGTTGGACCCTTACTTTGCAGGGTAAGTAAGAAACAAGGGACTTTGATTTAAAAAGTGCCTTTCTATAGATTGAAAAATATTGAATAAGGAGAAGCAGTAATATAGTACTTCATGCCAGCAAACTGTGGTAAATTTATGAAAATAAAAAGCATTCTGAAAATCCTCAAAGGTTTGAGGGGCGGAAATCTCATAGGACTACATCATTATACTTTGAATTTAAAGTACATTTTCATGTATCACTTTTCTAGCATTTGAAAAGCCTCCCAAGACTTTAAAATGTACATTGGACCTTAACCTAAAAGGAACTGCCAAAAGAAGGATGTAAGGGAATTTTATTTGATTTATATGGGGTGATAATAATATGTCAAGGCAAGTTAGTCCAGGTTCTAACTCTGGCGCTGTTCAAGTGTATTTTGGCAACTACGCGTCGCCGAAAACTTTGTGCCAGCTGGAATGGCTTGCTCATAATATTGCACACATTTGACTGGGGTTTCTTAGGAATGGAGAGTGTCCTGCAACAGTTAGAATGTCGAACTAGGATGGAGGAGCACCAGATTTTAATCCCCACTCAGCTCTGAAGCTCATGGGATAACTCTGGACCAGTCACTATGACATACGGTTGTTGTAGAGGTGGGGGTGGTGGAGATATATAAAAGACAAGATATACATGTAATATGTATAAATCACAGTATTTGCTCAAAGGCACCTGGGACAACTCGCAAACTGTAAAAATCACAAATCTAAGGATTGTAATTACTGTGAGTTCAATGCATTTCACTGTTGCCCATTGAGTGGAGACGGAGACCCAGGTAACTCTTTTCTATTTCCTTGCATTTACACATCATCCTTATGTCTGGTACCTACACACTTCCACGAAAGGAAGGCTCTTTGGTGGAATAGAGGTAAGCAATTTTCGCCAACTCTTCCTCCCCTTGCAGCCCCCCAGGCCACATCTCATTGTGAGGGTCTCTAACCCTCTGAAGCAGATCTGAGGTTCATGTGTATCAGCAAAAATCACCTTTTCCCTATTATACTGAGGGAGGCCTCCATAGGATGTAAGCCCCTTCCATCAGCAGAGGAACACAATTGGGCAGAACTTTTCCCCTTTACAAAGCCTGCAAATTTGCCACTTACTAAACTGCATTGTCTTTGTAAACATACTTTTAATAATCTAGTCTGTCTTGACCTTTTGAATCTGACGTGTCAATTTTCTCACACTTAATTCCTAAATTATTCAATAAAGGTAAAGGTACCCCTGACCATTAGGTCCAGTTGCAGAAGACTCTGGGGTTGTGGCACTCATCTCACTTTACTGGCTGAGGGAGCCAGCATTTGTCCGCAGACATGAGGCCAGCATGACAAAGCCGCTTCTGGCGAACCAGAGCAGCACACGGAAACGCCGTTTACCTTCCCGCCGGAGCAGTACCTATTTATCTACTTGCACTTTGACGTGCTTTCAACCTGCTAGGTTGGCAGGAGCTGGGACCGAGCAACAGGAGCTCACCCCGTTGCGGGGATTCGAATCGGTGAGCCCTAGGCTCTGTGGCGGTCAAGGATTATTGTTGCTGTGTTTAGTAAATACAGGCCTTGATGAATACTGGGCTATATGATCAAATCATTAATGCCTCATTACTGTTAAAAAGTGTCTCACAAAAAAGGACTTTCTTTATAAAGATTCCTTTATTTATTTGTTTAAATATTTACAAACCACTTTCATATAAAATATCACAAGGCAGTGGAAAACTGGAAAAAAACTACAGTAAAAGCAATTAAAACATGTACTACACACCAGGAAAGCTGGTGAACTCTTTTTTCCCCTAAAGGAAGATCTGATGTATTGCTCCTCATAAAACAGGCATGTTATAAGATCACTCCCCAACTGGGAGTTGTGTGCAACTGCTCTTTTCTACTCGGATTGGCGTACCTTAGGACTCATCGGAATTAGGCATTTGAAGAAGTATCATAACACTTTGAACAGTCATGGCCTCCTGCAAAGAATACTGGGCAGTGTACTTTGTTAAGGGTGCTGAGAGTTGTTGAGAGACCCCTGTCCCCTCACAGAGCTGCAATTCCCACCAATGCCTCTTCCTAAGAAACTCTGGAAATTGTAACTGTCTCCTAACAACCTTAAAAAATGTGTTGCCCCTTTTCACTTTGGTTGCGTGTTAATAATTTGTAGCACAGCGGGCAATATCAGCACTTGCAAATGTTCCCTTTGTCTTGGGTCTGTCTTCAGACACATGTGATCTCTGGAAATTTGAGAGAGGTTCCTGCATTTACATCATGTTCCCTGCAGCTCCACGCACCTTTTCAATAAGTTTCTTTTCTCTGTGGAAACAACAAGGAAAAGATTTGAGCCTCTGGAGTTGTTGTCTTCCCCTGTTGTAAACTGGAAGGAAATAGATCTGGAAATCATTGGAAGACAATAAACACAATTGTGCTGTATCACATTTTTACAGTTGCTTTTCATAGCTGATTTGCTCTCAAGACATCATGCTTGCTTCTGATGCATGAAACCACAGAACCACAATCAGCTGATTTCATAATTTACTTCTTCCTGTCTCTCTGGATAGTCAAACTAAAAGAGGGGAGGAAAACCCCCAAAGCCCACCATTCCTAATTCAAACCACCTGTCATAGATACATAGATACAGACGCTGTGGGTGTAACCGACTTCCATTAAAATCAATTGGAGATCGGCTGTTGACTTCTATGAGAGGCTGATTGCACCCTTTATCTTGGAAAAGTAGTCATGTTTTCTTAAATATGCAAACTTTGTGGCTTTCCCAACATCAACCTCAATTTTCATTAAGGCAATATATGGTCATTAGTGCACAACAAAATGACAAAACTAATCTTTTATTTACTTTGAGTATTACTCTGTAGACAGAATAAATGATATTATTTGTTCATTGTAATTCACTCTGTGATTTTCTATAACAAAAATATTTGTCTAGATATCAAGATACTTAATGGCTATGGAAAACAAATGGACAGATTGTAAGTCCAGATGAACTCAGTGGGACTTGCAATCACACTGTTAAGGCAGGGCTTGTCATCTGAGATTTTTAAATTACATGTATCAAATAAAAACTTTCTGATTAATTGGGGGACTGTTTTATTTGACCAATTTTTTAAAAAAGATTAGTCAATTAATTGATTGGATATTGATTGTATAATTGTAGCCCCCCTTTTTTTGTAATGTTTTAATCTAGTACTAATACTTCTTTCTTCTTCTTTGGAGATCACTTGTGGCCGAGTAAGATTGTCTTCCATGAACATGGTCTTAACAGTGAGTCTGTAAGTGACTGTGGAGGCTACTTCTGGATCCACACATCCTTCCACAGTGGGGACATTGGTTTCCAGGCGGGAGTTGATCACGGTGAGGGTTTGACGAACATGCCTTCCTCTTAGCATGTTTCTCCCTTTTGTCCTGAGTTTGAGCGTCTTCAAAGCCCATGACACCTTTGGTAAAGGCTGTTCTCCATTTGGAGAGCTTGCAGGCCAGTGTTTCCCAATTGCTGGTGTTTAGACTACTTGTTTTAGATTTGCCTTGAGAGAGTCTTTAAACCTCATTTAAATATACCTTTCTGAAGAAACCAGAGGCCTTTCTTCTGGGCATGGTCGGCCAATAGGTGCGAAGGGAGGATAGAACTTTTTTTATGTATGCTACAACAGCAGCAAGAATACTCATCGGGAAGTACTGGAAGACACAAGAATTGCCCACCCAAGAAGAATGGCAGATGAAAGTGATGGACTACATGGAACTGGCTGAGATGACCGGCAGAATTCGAGACCAGGGAGAAGGGTCAATGGAAGAAGATTGGAAAAAATTCAAAATATATCTTCAAAAGTACTGCAATATAAAAGAATGTTAGAAGGAGGTTGGAAAAAGAATATTAGGTCGTTCTGGTAGATATGATATAATGGACTAAGCAAAAATGAGTTGATGAAATCGATGAATTAGAGGAGGTCTAATCACATTATTTTAATTTTAAAATACGTAAATGAAAATAAGGTTAGAAGGATTTGCTGGAAACACGATCTGAACTAGAATACAAAACTGGGAGGTGAGAGGAGGTCGTGGAAATAAGTAAAGGGAAAAGGCTATGTAAAGGTTTAATCTGTTTTTGTTTTATTTTAACTTAATGTATTTTTATATTTTTTTGTCAAGTTTTCTTTTTTATTCTATCCTATTGTTCTTTTTTTTACTTGTTTATTTCTTGCTTTGTTATGGTTAAAGCTTTCTTTGTATTTTGTATGGTTTTTCTTTTTCTTTTTTGGAACTTTAAATCTGGAATAAATATCATTTATAAAAAAAAAAAGAGAGTCTTTAAACCTCTTTTGTTGACCACGAGCATTACACTTTCCATTTTAGGTTGGTAGTACAGTAGCTTTGTAAACAAGCATTTTGGTTTCCCTGAGAATGTCCCGGTCCTCAAACACTCTGCGCTTCAATTGGGAGAAAGCTGCACTCGCAGAGTTCAGGCGATGCTGGATTTTGGCATCAATATCTTTCCTTGTGGAAAGATAACTGTCTAGGTAGGAGAAGTGATTGACACCTTCCAATGTTACACCATTGAGCTGGATTTGTGGTGCTGCTGAAGGGTTGTTTTGTGCTTGTTGATGCAGCACTTTGGTTTTTTGGATGTTGAGCGACAGGCCATCTCTTCATAAGCTTCTGTGAAGATATTTAGGATGGTTTGGAGGTCATCCTCTCAGTGTGCACACACTACATTGTCATCAACATACTGAAGTTCTATGATGGAAGTTATGGTAACCTTACTCTTTGCTTTCATCCTATACAGGGATTGGTTTTGCTCTCTGCATCGTTCTTGAAGCTGTCGAGTGGTGAAAGTCATGTTAACTGTCACCTATGAAAGTCGAAAACCATTTGGGATATTGTTAGGAGACAGTTTGCAAAGATCCTTGCAAGAATTTTGCCGGCCACAGCTAATAAAGAGATGCCTTGATAGTTTCTATAATCTGTTCTATCACCTTTTTTAAAAAGAGATTAATAATTTTGGCATCCCTAACGTCTGTTGGGATCTCCTCTCTCCCCCAGATTTTTTTGATGAGCTTGTGAAGTTATGTAAGTTCAATTCCTCCCGCTTTGAAGACTTCAGCAGGTATCCCATCAGGTCCGTTGGCTTTGTTGTTTTACAGTTGGTTAATAGCTGTACACAACTCTCCCAGATTTGGAGATGCTGCAAGCTCATCTCTAATTTGTTTTTGCGGAATTTGTGAGTGGACCTCAGCAGCTATGGGGGAGTTGCAGTTAAGGTAGTGGAGTGGCCAGCCATACCTCTTAGGGAAGGCATAAGCAAACTTGGCCCTCCAGATGTTTTGGGACTGCAACTCCCATCATCCCTGACCACCGGTCCTTTAGCTAGGGATGATGGGAGTTGTAGTCCCCAAACATCTGGAGGGCCAGGTTTGCCTATGCCTGTCTTAGGGGAGAGATTCCAAAGTTGTGGTGCTATGTCAAAGAAACTAAAGTATAGGCTTTTATTTTTTGCAACCATATGCAGAATAAGTCCCATGTGGGAGTAAGTCCTACTGAATTCAAACAGATTTAGTTCTGAGGTCATGTACTGAGTTCATTTAAAGGACTGAACTGTAAATATTTAGTTATGCTTAAAGCAAACAACTGGAAGTCTCACTGATTTCACTGAGTCCATTCAAAGCATGACTAAACCTAGATTCAACCATACACCTCTATCCTGTTTATGTCTGAATGGAAATTATGGACATCAGATATGCAGTCTTTCTGGCACTCAGTGTTTCATTGGCTATTAGTTTAAAACTATTTTGATAGTATTTTCATTTCTCTTTTGTCATTGGCATCTTGCATTTATGCAAATCTTTTACCAGCTCAGAATAACAATGATTTAACTCAGGGGATAGAAATTGCTTAATGGTTGAATGCGATTAATCATGTACAAATGATTGAATAATATTTCCTCTCTCTTGATTGCTAAAATCCTACAGGGGGAAAAACCTCAATTCATTGTCTCTGGAGAGTTATTGATGGTCACTGACTAATTGTGGACAAAAAAATAATATTAGTCCATTACAGTCTGATAAATATTCCAAGCATATATGACACATTTGAGTTGATATGTATTCTGAGCATGTACTCCAATAATCCTCTCATCAGAGCTGCCTTGTTACCCTAACGCTCTGCAGATACTGATAATTAATCAACTGCATCGAATCTTTACAGAGTAAACAAATCTGCCACATGTGAGGGATGATTATGTTTCGTGTAGTTGGGAAGATTTCCCCGCTTAATATATTCATGCCAAAGGCATCCTCAGTTGCAAAGTATTTTTGTCACTCATGGGGAAAAATTACTTTCTTCTTATTTAGAATAGATGTTCTCCGCATGTTATAGGAAAACTCTCAACTGGTGTAAATTGGAATGGTGTCCTTGAAATCTGCAGACCTGTGCTGATTTAGGCCGGCTGAGGATCTAGCAAGCTGAATATTTATGGGACAGTTTGCAAAATGTAAGATTGTTAAACATATCTATTTTTGGTATTTTCTCTCTCTCTCGCTCTGCCCCCCCCCCACTTTGCTTTCCCCCCTTTTTTGCATTGTACTTGGGGATGATTGAAAAGGCTTTTTTCCCTTGACTAGAGGAAACTCATCTGAGAAAGATTATTTTCAAAGTAGTTTGACAGCCTTCGTACAAACTTGTTCCACAAGAACAGTTCCTCCTTATGTGCCAAACTCTGCATGCATGTGTGTAAATCCAAGGACAATGTGGTGCTGACAGACTTCCTGGAAGAATTGTGGTGGAATCCAGGGGGGCGTTTGCATTATTCCATGTGGAGTGCAGACCCACATTGACAGACACTCTGGCATCATGTAATCCTATGAAGTGCCGGCCCTACCATTAGGCAGGAAGCTGATTCGGGCAGCAGATCCTGGGGCAACTGCAATCCCCATCCCCATCCCCCTGAGTTGTCTAAGCCAGCCTGCTTCGCCCCTCTTAAGCTAGCCAGCTTCCCTTAAGTACCCTGAGGAAGAAGGATGCTGTCCTGTTACCAGTGCTGAAGTAAGATTCAACTCTACCTGGAATCTTGTCTTTGCCTCAGGCAGCAAAATGTATTGGCCTGGCCTTTAGCCTATGTTTCATCTAATGCTACAAGTTATGTGGGTTTAAACCTATTAAATTCAGGGGGTTTAATTCTGCCCTGGATATGGTTGCACAATGGCTGTTACAGGGAATCCTGCTTGTGCCAATAAAAGCTGCTCATTCTATTAGAGGCCAAAGCACCACACATCAAGCTGTATTTCTCTGTATTCCCGAATACTCTGGGGCAAGTGGATGGAAAAAATGAAATAATCACAGTTTTAGGTTCAGACAGTTCAGTCTTTTGGCTCAACCCTTATGCATGTTTACTCAGAAGTTAGTCTCATCAAGGTCAGTGGTAAGTGTGCATGGGATTGCAGCCACTGGTACAGTTTTGAACATCAGTGTTTAATCTTGGGACATCTGAAGTTATAAGAAATATGTAATTTCTCTGAGCATGTGCAGTGTCTTTTATATCCATAGCACTGAATGGATCCATCTGCCCTGATGGATAACCTTAACCAAGAACAGAACAAGGGGAGTGCAACCTCACTGTAGCTTTTGGTATCATAGACTATGGCATCTTTCAGGGCCAGTTCTGTGGGATGGGTTTGGAGGAACTTCTTCTTCTTTGGCGATCACTCATGGCCAAGTAAGATTGTCTTCCATAAAAACGGTTTTAACAGTGAGTCCGTAAGTGACTGTGGTAGCCAATTTTGGATCCACACATCCTTCCACAATGGGGACAGAGGTTTCTGGGTGGGAGTTGATCATGGTGAGGGTTTGCCAAGTGTGCCTTCCTTTTAGCACGTTTCTCCCTTTCGTCCCGAGTTTGAGCATCTTCAAAGCCCATGACACCTTTCGTAAAAGGCTGTTCTCCATTTGGAGCACTCACAGGCCAGCGTTTCCCAGTTGCTGGTGTTTATACTACATTTTTAAAAGATTTACCTTGAGAGAGTCTTTAAACCTCTTTTGCTGACCACCAGCATTACGTTTTCCATTTCTAAGTTCGGAATAGAGTAGTTTTGGAAGACGATAATCAGGCATCTGCACAACATGACCAGTCCAACGAAAATGGAGGAACCATTTTACAGTGGTTCCAGTCTCATCTATGTAGCCAAGTCCAGAGGGCAGCATTGGGAGAACACTTTTGGCTCCCTAGCAGTTACACTACGGGGTGCTGCAGGGCACTATTTTATTCCCAATGATAGTGCTGCAGCCAGGGCTTAGGTGATGTGGGGCAAGGTGCCATCAGTATACTGATGACACTCAGCTCTATTTCTCTGCAGCATCTGAATCAGGAGTAGCTGTGTGGGCCCAGCAGTAGTGGGCTGAAGGAAAACAAGTCAAACTTAGATGTTAACAAGATGGAGGCACTGTGAGCAAATGGTTCCCATGTCTGAGGAAGTGGCCATTTTCCTGACCTAGTCAGAGTTGCATCCCCCTGAAGGAGCAGGTACCCAATCTGCAGGTGCTTATGGATCCAGTTTTGTGGAGGCCTTGGTAGCCTCAGTGGCTATGAGCACCTTTGATTGGCTTCAGCTGGCATGTGGTTGCTTCTGGCCTGAGAGAACTTGATCACAGCAGTCCAGGTAGTACGGACTTCATGAATGGATTACCGCAATACATCCCATGTAGGATTCCCCTCGTGCTTGGTCCAGAAACTGAAGTTAGTGCAGAATGCTGCAGCACAACTGCTGACTGGAGGGATATTTGAACTGGCTGCCAATTCGTTACGGGGCCAAATTCAAGATATTGCTATTAGCATATAAACCCATTAACAGCTCTGGACTATTTCACTTGAAGGACTGACTCAAGTCACTGCCCACCCAACCACTTTGATTTGCAGAACCGGTCCCTTCCGTCTCAACCATTCCAAAATGTAGAGATCCAGAGATTCACGATCTCACGGCTCTTGAGGATTCCTCAACCTCATATGGCTCCGGCAGGCATGCAGAACAGCTTCCGGGGCTTAACCCATGGCAGCCACTGGAATTTGCGCCTGCTTTTAGGCTGCAATCCTATATACCACCCCCTTACCAGGGCACACATCCCATTTAAAGTTGATGGGCTTTACTTATGATAAGGCGCAGGCAGGAATACGCCGCCCCCACCCGTATACATATGCAGCAGGCAGCACTTCCTCTCCACGGGATGCAGCTGCAGGAGGTTAAAGTACGAATTACCAAAAAATAAATCATAAAGCCTCTCTACGCCGCGACCTCCGGGATGGCTTTGCCCGCCGGAGCGGCTACATTTCACCTTATTGGCCGGAGAAGGGACCACGGGGAGCCGGGGAGTCGACACGCGCCGCCCGGGCGGCCAGGCCGGAGGACACAGGCGGATCACGCGCGCCGCAGCGGGTTCCCGGGGGCCGCCGGCAGCCAATGGGCGCGCGGCGGCGGCGCTTCCTCTCTCCTGGTTGGCGCGTCTGCGAGGACGCCGCTCGCCGCCGCCGCCGCCTCCGCTCGCCTCGCCAGGGGGAAAGGGCCGGCTGCGCAAGGTAAAGCATGGCTGCCAAGGTAAGTCACGGAGCTCCGGCGGCGCGCGCAGAAGAGCGCGGGCTGCGGCTGCTGCTGCTGCTGCTTCTGCTTCTGCCCCGGTAGCAGCCGCGCCACTTGCTCCCCGGGCCTCCAGGCGGCTGCCGCTGGGAGGGGAGAAGCGGGGAGGCTGCCAGAGTTGACCTAGGGCCTGTCCTTGGCGCAGCTTGGCCCGCTTTCGGGGGTGAGGGGAGATCCCTCCCCCCTCGGGGGCAGGGCCAAGCCGAGGCCAGCAGGTCGTGCTGCTTCCGGAAACCCCAAAAAGGAAGCGAGGCCTCAGGGAAGAGTCTTTTGGCTGGCATGCAGATGCCCCACAAGCGCCTCCTCCCACAGACGGAGAGGTTCCGGGGCTGAGGGCTGCTTCCTAAAACCATAGCCCCCAGGCCCGTTTTGCTCGCCCAGCGTCCCGTTTCCCAGAAGGGGCCGGACAGATGCTTCTAGGAACCCCAGCAGCAGGTTGCCCGCTGGCAGCCGCCTCTCCACTCTTGCTGCCTTCCCTGACATTCGTAGGTACACTGCCCTTGTGCATGGAGGTTCTCTTTCGTTGTAAAGCTCCAGAGCCATGGATGGAAGCTGGCCCTGTAGGAGCTGGAAGCTTGCTTCCCTCTGGCAGCGTTCATGGAGGTGTTGAAACTTCCTGTGCTGCAAGGAGAATGCTCTGGGTGTGTTCAAGCCAGCTTTGTACGGTTGGTTCATTGGCACTTAACACTAGAAAGTGGGTCCTGGGGCTAAGGCCTAGCACAGTAAGTCTTGACTGGCAGCACTAGTTAGATAAACACTTGGTACCTGCCTTCAGTGCGGTGTTTGCTCCATAGTTAGGATAAGCCTTGAGATTTCTGTAAAATGCCTCTGTGTTACAATGAAGTGACTTTGAAGGCCCATTTCCACCTGCAGTCCTTTTCAGTTTGCAAAGCACACTTACTTCAGAAACAGGGCTTATTATTTTCCAATATATAAATCCATTATGCACATTTATGGGAGCTGTGCAATATTTTAAAAAATACTGTCCCAGCTATAGTGTCTGTACAGTTTGGAGCATTGAGACCAACACAAAGGTCACATTTATGTAAGGACTTTGGTTTGAACAGTGATAGTCACCTGACTTTCATTGACAGTTTTCCAAGTTCAGATAGTTAAGAGGCTGAAGGCTGCCTGTCAGCCAGAAGGAGAAATATCTTAAAGTTACCTTGAAAAACCAAACACAAACGTTCTGGCAAGATGGTGGCAGTTTGTGCAAAGCTACAATAGAATGCTAGGAACGCCTTACATCTTCTGCAGCCGTACAAACCCTACAAACAGAATGGTGTTTGACTACACTGAACATGCTGTGCATTATAGACAGCCAAACAAGCAGAATGAATGAGTGAATTAAATCAAAGGCCTTGCATCACTTCGTAGCCCATTCACACATATAAACTATACATGCAAACTGTTATTCACACAATATACCATAGACAGAAGTTCTCTACAGTTCAGTACATGTTCAGCTGGTGTCTATCAAGCATATTCTAAGCAAAAATAGAGAAATCTTGTAAATGTAGTTAGAACCCTAGTTAACAAACTATTTTAAGTTTTCCAGAAGCAGTTATGTGAGTGCATAAAAAGAATATTTAAACATTTTTTTAAAAAAGTAAAAGGTTGCTAGCACTGTTTTTGGCAATTGCTGACAAACATCTGCCTATTAAACCACATTAAAGCCATCCCTGTTCAGAACCCTGATCCTTAATGTTGTCATAGCTGCCTGTGGTGCTATGATAAAGTGATCACACCCTAAGAGAAGCCACTGTGTTGTATTGATTATAACCTTCTTATGGGTGTAGAGCAGCCTTCCCCACTGTGTTTGGACGTTTTGGACTACAACTCCCATCAGCCCCAGCCATCTCCCAGGTTGGAGAAGGCTGGTGAACAGGTTTCAAAGCCAAAACCCTAATCATGGCTATGTGGAGGTAAGTCCTGTTGAAAGCTGTAGACTTGCTTCAAGTTTAGCAAGTTTAAGGGTGTTAAGGGTGTGGATCGGCTTGCAGAGCAAAACTTTGGGGTAAGACTTGAAACAGAAGTATTTACTTTGAGAGATGGGCAATTTGTTCAGTACAGAGGAGCTTCCTTCAGTCTTGTCATGGAAAACCACACAGTCTAAAGGCTGAAAGGAATATCGGGGATTAGTCCTGTACAACCATCTACTCAGACACATTTGCTCTAGAGTTGACCATCTCGTATTTATCCATTTAAAAAAAGAAAAAAGCAAGTAAAAATCCATAGTTGCCTTGGGTAGATTGACAAGACAGGTTATCCTTCATAGGAGTGCTTCATGTTACAACATGCCTGGAGGAATATGCGGTAGAAACCTCTCAGTAGATGTTTATATTAAAGCGTGTTTATTTTGCATTGCTTATAGTGATTTGATTGCAGGAAAACAGTATACAAGTGCAAGAGGAAGCCTTGGTTAACTGTAGCTCCTCACCATAGTTGTACACAGTGAACTGTACATATGCGGTGGGACTATCAAAATTATGCGGACTTAAAATCATGAACATTATCAGCTTTGAATGCTTCCCTTTCCTTAAGATGCTATCTAAACCTTATGCACTTCTGGCATTAAGTCAAACACAGTTGCCATTCCGAGTTCCAGTGCTAGGCTTGTAGCTTTGTGCTGTAGAGATGTAGGGTAGAGTGAAGCCCCTCTTTGAATCTGTAGAGCTTCCTGGACACTTGCAGTTTTCAATTCAGTATTGCAAGTTCAGGCTGCATATCATCCTAGTCTTTTCTTAGCTCCATGTTTTTGCCTTCCACCACAAATTCTAGAAACTTTGGAATGAAAGCTAAGCTTTTCTATGTTCTTGGAAGAGCGTTCTGACTGCTCTCTTAAATGCAAAGCATGTGTGTTTTTAAATGGGCCCTGGACAATCGACATGCTTACATGTGACATGGTATATAGTGTTTTCTAATCATAGCATTCCATAAAGATCTGAATTATTTCTTAGTATGTATAGGCGCTGGGGGGGGGGGGAGAGGAAAGGAAGGCAGTGTTTTCCTTGCAAAAGGGTCAGAGGTTTAATGAACTGAAGTGTTAAATTATGGTGGAAGGTGCAGAAGGATGCTGAAATAAGTAGAGTCAGATTGTAGTACAGCACAGCAGGAGTTTGATCCTGCATGCAAACTGCTAGAGGGGCTGCCTAATTTATTACATTTCTTTAATATGTGGTCCCAGGATGGATTACGTGGACCTCAGTACTGTACAATAAAATATGCAATACATAAGCATTACTAGAGTATAAATTAAACAGCAGTCAGAAATGGCAAAAACACTACAATGAAAGGCATATTCTGATCTCATCTTCCACCACCAGAAATCTGTGCAAAAAGGGTGCATCTTGACCACACATCATGGGCGGAGCCAGGATTTTTGTTGGTGGGGGGCAGAACCTCAGTTAGCTATGTATTTTTATTGCTGGGGGGGCAGCTGCCCCTCCCTGCCCGACCTCCGGCTACATCCATGCAGACATCCATGCAGGTATCTTGGAGGGGAGGGCATTCCCCAACCTGGGGGCCACCACACTGAAGCTCAAATGTGTGCCTAAGGTTCAGGCTGAGTTGTGTGAAAATACTTCTCTGATCTAGCCCAATAATTTTCCGTTTGATTTTTCTCTTCAGCCAAACAATGGATTGGTGAGTCGTGGGTATTTTTCTGAGTCATTGATATATATTTTTTCTGCATTTGCCTGATACGTGTCCTGTGCCAGCATCCTGCATGACAGCTTTTTAAAATTAATTTTATTCATTTTTGTATACCCTCAAACTCATGCACCCTTTTGTATCCTGTTGCATTGTTCTTTAAATGATGTGTTTAAGGTTTTCAAGTTGTTTTCTCCCCCCTCCCTTGCAAAAGAACACAACCCACTTTGATGCATAGGATATTTGAGAGTGAATAGGACTTTTTTAAAAAAATTGGAGTATGCTAATATAAGTATTCTTTTTTATGGCCTAGTACAGAAAGATTGGATCAGGCTGCAGGTCCCAACCCACCAGTTGAAAACCACTGCACAGACTTGTAAAGTTAACTAGCCTGCAAAAAAAACAAAGTACTTGCCTGTTAAGGGGCAACTAGCCTGTGTTTCAGGCAGTTTGCAGAGGATGGACTCCTCTTTCTCCAACCTGCACAGAAGAATCACCATGGTATCCCAGTAATACCAAAAAAGCCTGGCTGGGGCCAGGATTGGCTACATTTTAGTCCCATATTTAAACCTGGCTTTTTACTCAGGCGTTTGGACCATGTTGAACATTTGACATGCTTGTGCCGTTGTTTGGTATTACATATTTTAAGATTCCATGGCAAATATTATTAATTGATTGTTATGTTTTATGGTTTTAGGTGTTCCCAAGAATGGTTTTATTGTTGTTTTCTGCCCCCCAATCAACTGATAAATATATATAGTGGATTAGAAGTGTTTTAATTAAATCCTAGCCTCTTAGCTTGCCAGTAAAATAATAATGCCAAATGCACTGATGGTAGAGACTTGTGTCTCCCCTTTCCACCAGTGTTTCTGTCCTTGTTGGGGAGGCAGAGACTTTATCAGTTCATCTGTAGCTAGCAAGGAAACTAAATGAGTTGGCAGCCTCCTCCATCAGCTGTCTCAGTTGCATAGAATTCCTGGTCACCTGTGGCAATCAGGCAAGTTTTTGAATGCAAGGATGGTTTTGCGCAAAGTCCAGCGAAACGAATAGGAGTTACATTTTGCTCTGACCAGCTTCCTCGGAGGAAAGGAGAGAGTAAAAGCCGGGGGCAGCTGTGGTGTGTCATTTATAGCACAGGCATTGTGCAGGAGAATTTCCTT